GCCACGTGGTCAATTTAGATTAGAGTCAAACGCACCTTGCCACGTGGTCAATTTAGATTGGAGTCAAACGCACCTTGCCACGTGGTCAAATAAAACGTGAATAAAACGAAAGTTGTAACTTTTTGCAAGAGAAAACCCAAACATAACCCAATTTTTAAACTTTTTGGCAATAATCTAGATATAGAAGATTCCTACTCTTATTTAGGAGTAATTTTAAGTTACAATGGTTCTTTTGTTAAAGCCAAGAAAAAATTAGTCGAGCAAGCGCAAAAAGCATTATTCAGTTTATACAGAAAAATACGCAATATATCATTACCTGTTGATTTACAGATTAGCTTATTCGATACCCTCATACTTCCCATTCTGACTTATGGGTGCGAAGTGTGGGGGTTTGAAAACATTCAGATGATAGAAAAAATTCACCTACAATTTTGCAAAAATATACTTAAGTTAAGAACCACTACTCCTAATTTCATGTCTAATGGAGAACTTGGCAGAACTCCAATTGAGGTAGCTATTAATTTAAAAATGGTCTGTTTTTGGAATAAACTTATTGTCAATCAAAACAAATTAAGCAGTGTGCTATATAGAGTAATGTATAAGCTTAGTCAATCAGGTAATACTAGATTTAAGTGGATAAATCATTTAAAGTCTATATTTGATAATACGGGACTCAGCTATGTATGGACTCAGCAATTTCCAGTCAATTTAAATTCGAGTCAAACGCACCTTGCCACGTGGTCAATTTAAATTAGAGTCAAACGTACCTTGCCACGTGAACAATTTAGATTGGAGTCGAGCGCACCTGCCACATGCTGGGTTCGATATCACAGACTCAGTGTTATCACGCTAGTGATAATTTAGATGAACTACTTAGACAAGTGGGCCATCAAGGCCCCTGTATCCCACTCCAAAGAAGAAGGTATATTAGTTTTAAGTCCATGCGTGAGTCAGCACATATCACATTTTAGTCGCGTTGCTAAATAATTATCAAGCAATAGATATCTGGTCGATATATATTGATACGTTGCTATTTATTGTTTGTTATTGCAGGTGAAGTTGGAGACTGGAAGAACCATTTTACTGTCGCAGATAATGACGAATTTGACAGAATTTACAATGAAAGAATGAAAGACATTAAGTTCACTTACAAATATACATTATAAACATTCGATTGATTAATACAACATTCTCACATCGTTCTTAATGTTTCAATTTACCTTTTTAAGTCAATGCAGTTAAATTGTGAAAAAGTATTGCTTCATACAATAAAACAAAGAAAAGACTATGGATTTTTACTGTTCATGCATGTTCAAAATATATTCTTTTTATTAATCATTTATTCAATGCGTAAATGATTTTTTTTTACCATTTAACAATAAAATGACAGGCTTGTTTTTGTCGGAGGAAAATAGTAGTTGTAAACATACCAATCAATGAAGCAGGCTTATAAACACATCATCAGTAGCACTCAAATCAAAACAGTTGGTTGGGTCTCGCTGGCCGAGTGGTCTAAATAGTCGAACTACTGTAACACTAGCTAGTTAACATTGAGGTTGTGAGTTCGAATCTCGCACGGGGCAGGTGCACTCGACTCCAATCTTAATTGACTAGGATTGTCAGTGTTCCTTCCTATTGTCGGTGGTTCTCCCCGGGCACTTTGGTTTCCTCCACCAATTAAAACTGACCGCCACGAAATAGCACAATAGTGTTGAAAGTGGCGTTAAACACCAAGCAATCAATCAATCAAAACAGTTGGAAGGTCAAATGAAAAACGAAGTTGAAGAGCATTGAAGAAGTATTCCATAAAGAAATTCCAAATACCACTAAGCCTAAGGCTATTGATGCCATTAGGTAGAAATTCTTAGTGTTCAAAATAATTAATAATAAATAAATTTCACTTTAAAGAAGATATGGAATAGATTCGAGTAAGTGTAATAGGAACCACTTGCATACATGTATATGGAACAAAGAGTGAGGTCAGATGCATAGATAATGTTAGTATCTATTAAACAGACATGTTATCCCTTGTTTTTGATGCATAAAAGTCCGTTTGTATTTTCTTGTAACAACAAGGGATCCACATTTGCTATGGGTTCAAGAGCCTACGTATATGGATGATCTATATACTTGCAAGGGATCCCTCTACCTGGAGTCTTGGGCCCAATCAGTGCCATGCTGATCCCTTTCAGTGGAGCCCGAAGTCTAATATCATTGCTGAAAAAGCACAGAGCCGGTAATGTGAAGCCCAATATGCAATTACGTTGCTCAAAAAGCCCAGAGCCGATAATGTGAAGCATGAAGTCCAATAACATTGCCTAAAAAGCCCAAAGCCGATAATGTGAAGCATGACGTCCAATAACATTGCCTAAAAGCCAAGAGCCCATAATGCGAAGCATAAAGTCCAAAATCATTGCGCAAAAAGCCCAGAGCCGAAAATTAGAAACATAAAGTTCAAAAATCCCAGAGACGATAACTTGAAGCATGAACTCCAATAACATTGCTCAAAAAGCCCAGAGCCGATAATGTGAATTCTGAAGTCCAAAAACATTCCTAAAAACATCCAGAGCCGATAATGTGAAGCATGAAGTCTAATTACATTGCTAAAAAATCCCAGGGTCAATAATGTGAAGAATGAATTTCAATAACATTGCTCAAAAAGGTCAGCTAATACCTGGAACGTAGTACCGGGAACCAGGATACATTAAAACGGATTCAGCAGAATTATGATCGTGAACAGACACAGGATTAAAATACACTAAAAACTACTGGGATAATGAACAGATATATCATGTTAAGGAGGGGTATTTGCGAAAAATACCAGTCGAGAGAATGTTAAATTTCGCGAGCCGTAAGGCGAGGGAAATTCATTCTCAAGACTGGTATTTTTCGCAAATACCCCTCAAGAACATGCTATATCTGTTTAATTACACCGAATGTTAACGTACAAAACGCATTGATGATCGTGACATAAAACGCATTGATGATCGTGACATTACAAGCGTCCAGTCGGATAGAGTATTTTTTGGCAAATACCACGGCAGAGAGGGTAAGAAAGGCATATCCTTTTTGCATATACCCCGGCGCTGTTAAAAATGAACGATATTCATTTGATATAGACTGAAAGTAAAGACCTTACCCTATCTTAGAGCTTAACTATATGAAATAATGTTATGTTGCTGGCTACTAACTACACGTATACAAAACAACAAAGGTCTGTAGAAATCGTTTTAGTGTGTCAGGAAGCGTGAAAACGTTAAATTAACACAAGTGACTAGGACAGTATATGAGACATGTTAAAGAATAAATAATGATTTATTGTATAAAAAGTAAAATAGCAAAATCCTGATTTCCAAAGAAAATTAAAAACTGAAAGTCCCTTAACAAATGGCAAAACTTAAAGCTATAAAATGTCAAACGAATGGAAAACAACTGTCATATTCATTAAGAAGAAAATTGTGGATTGAACCTGGTTTGATAGGTTTCCCCTTCCCTCATAATTTCCGTCCTTCATTCTTGTCATCTGATTTACCTTTCATAACATATCTATGTTAGTAATTTTTTAGTTTTTCTCGTCCTGAATATGCACGGAAAAGTTGCAAGCAAACTTCAACCAATCAATGTACTTTTGTTGGTATTAACTTTTGTTGATGTTGAAAATAGAAATATTTTTTTCGTGTTTTCTTTAACTACGTTCGAGGTCCGTGATAATTTATATATGGTCAAAAATTGAAGTTTGTGGATTTCCACTAACTAACGGAATCAACGAAAATTGGTCTCCCAAAAAAGTCAGTAATGAATCCAGTCATTCATTTAGTTCTATCAACAAATGTATCTAAAAATATTTTAAGTGTTACGTAGAAAGGCGAATGGCTTGCTAAAATCGAGCTTGCATTCATTTCTATGAAGATTTGTATAAGTCTTTTTTTAATTCGGAATCTATATTTTACAACAATCGTCAGAAATGATTGAAAACGCTGTGGATTTAATTGTCGAAGCTTTTTAAGAAAGCTATTCTTTGTGTAAATATATATATACATATATTATAATAACTTTCACTGTTGGGGTTGCTGTATAAAACTGTTTTTCTAGGTATAGCTCAGCGTCCAGTAAACTGCGAGCCTTGTCATGCTAAGAAATTGCCTCCGTTGAAGTTTTGCAAACATCCCATAATACAAATTACACGGATGATTAATATTGACCATTTGGTATAAGGCTGTGTTCTAAGCGACACGTACATGCAGGTCATAAATTAACTTGTTGAATGAAATAAAATTTGTAACTACTAATGTTTGCCGTAGGAGGTCCGGCGGAATTTTAAGCGAGGATTTCTTAGCATGTAACAGATAGAAAACGCAAGGTTAGAACTCATAAAACAGGCAAGGGGCAGTGGCAAATATTTCATGTATATTTTTACACAGAGAGGATTACCCCGGCACCATAGGGAATATTTTTATCTTATGAAATCTACATTTGAGAGGTTTCATTTTTTTTTTTTTTATTTAATTAAAAAAGAGAAAAACAAATGTAAGACAAATTGTGAATGGTCTTTCATCCTTTCTCCCATGCCAAGAAATTTTGCAAACATCCCATAGAGCAAATTACACGGATGATTAATATTGACCATTTGGTATATGGCTGTGCGACACGTACATGCAGGTCATAAATTAATTTGTTGAATGAAATCAAATCTTTAACTACTAATGTGTGCCGTAGGAGGTCCACCGGAATTTTTAGCGATGATTTCTTGGCATGAAAACATGTGGAAGACATATGATCACATATGTAAAAATTTTTTCATATTTATAATATTTTTTTCATGTATTGTATGTTTCTTGTGTATATTACGTTTGCATTTAAACCCGTCAGGGTTTTACTTTTTGCAGTAAAGTATAATTGTATAATAGTACGAAAAAATGCTCTAAAGAAAAGCTTTTGGAAAAAGCTATTTTTGTTTTATCATGTTTATCAAACGCTCATAGATTACACCAGGTGGCGTATCTATGTGTACATATTGATTATTCGGATAATTATGGCTCAGTGTCCTATTAAGTCTTGTGAAATATGTGGGAGTTCCCCAGGAAGCAGGTTCTGTGTAGACTGTGAACAGTACTTTTGTAACATATGTGAAATCTCACACTTAAAAACAAAACCATGTAAACATCACGTTTTTCAACATGCACATACAATCAACCCGGAAGAAAAAACACCCGTTTGTGAAAAACATAATGAGAGATTCCTTTATTTCTGTAATACGTGTTCCTGCTTGCTTTGTAGTATATGCTTGACATCATCACACAAGACACACGATTTCTGCTTGTTAGACGAAGCTGGGTCACAAAAAAGATCAGAATTCAACACCAAGGTCAAATCGTTTGAAACTGACATACATAAAGCCGAAAAGAAAGTAGATGTCCTTAGAAACTCGTTGGAACAGTTCAAGGATGCAACAGAGATTGCAAAGAAAAAAATCGACGAAAAAAGGAAGAGCCTCATTGATGTTATTAATAATATATCGGATGGATATTTGAAAGAGATTGAGGAAAAGAAGTTAAAAGAAACACTGAGAATTCAACAGGAAATAAACAAACGTAGAAATGAAATTATAAAGAACAAGGAATCTATAAATAACGTAAAAACATCTGTGAGCAAACAAAATAATACGATATTTCTAGTATCAGTAATAGAAGTAAATAAAAATATGCCTTCTTTAAAGAGCATGGAAGATGTTACAGAATTACCAACAAAGATTAATTTTGATCCCGCAAAAACTATGGAGGATGAGATTGGAAAAACTATAGGTGTTTTGACATTAAGCGCAGGTGCCATAATGAATCTGTGCAATGCGCCAATTACTATAGGTAGTTTAGTTCGATTAAAGACGGCCACACATAGTAAATACAGGCATGGAGTGGATCGTGGTAGCGTTGGTTCCGTGAAATGTGTTTATTTTGATGAAAGTGTCTTGGTTTCTTTCCCAGAGAAAGAAAATTGGTCTGGCATGTTAGTTCATATCGAACATGTTTAGTGATAACATTAATGCATTTAAAACAGTGAAAAACAATTCTAGACCTTACGCAAACTATACTGTTTTTCCTGATATTTGTGAATAAGTGTTAACATTTTTAATGCTTTTACTGGTAACACAGATAGATATATGAACATCTATAGTTTTTTTTGTGTAATTTGGTCTCTTGTGGAGAGTTGTCTTATTTGCAATCATAATACATCATCTCATTTTTATATTCTGCTATAATATAGGCTCCATCATCTGAAATCAGACCCATTTTATCCGCAGGCATCTTAAGTTTTACTTGTGCAAAAAGTTATAGAATTTGTACGTACAAGTCATTGTGCTAATGGTATTTTAAAAAAAACTGAATGTGTGTTTGTATTTTACCAATCGTGTAATATTCATCAGTCAAATTTCGAAACTACGGTATATAATGTATAGCGAGAAGGAATTAAATAATGTAAAGTGAGCATTATATCATTTGTGTTTTTTTTTTGTTTGTTTGTCTCTTGATGGATTCACATCCATTGTGGATCTAATATATTTCAAGTGTTTTATAGATCACCATTTAATTTTACCTCCGCTTTAAAAAAAGTGGGGTATACTGTTTTACCTCTTCCGTCCGTCCGTTCGTCCGTCCGTCCGTAACAAATTGTGTCCGCTCTATATCTAGAGAACCGTTATGGCTTCAAAGTTTATACTTGACATGTATATAAACCAACACCAGAGGGTGTGTCATAATTTATGTACAAATTCTTAGGTCAAAGGTCAAGGTCAAAACTTTGGTTTCAGTTGACAACCCCATGTCCAATGATAAAGATACAAATTTTTTACCACACATTATTCACAGCGGGGACCACAGAGATGGCTTCCATCTCAATGATATCTAGTTATTTTAATTTTATTTATTTGAGAAGAAGACTGTATTAATATTTGCAGGTTTTGACTGAGTCAAGTATTTGAAAGTTTCTTTTTGGGGGAGTGGGTAAAAATGATTAAATAAGAAAACAGGAATCTTCAAAAATACTGGACAGTCTAATATACGACATCAATTACCAACACACTAATCTTCTTAATAAAACGACATACGAACAAAAACAACAAACAACACATTGTCCAGATAGCATGACTTGTTACAGACACGGATTGTAATGGAAATAACTCCCCCCCCCCCCTTTTTGCCAATCTAGACTATGTATCGAAAAAACTCAAAATAACAAAATGCACAGTGCATATTTAACGAAATCGCACAAGTTCTGAAGGGAAAATAAGAAAATAATAGCATTCAATTTTCGTGGTATCAAGATGACAAGTAAATGGGCAATCTCAATAAAGAATTCGAATGTTGTGCAATTTTGCTTGCAACTGAAGCATTAGGGACTGTACATGCATGTAAAAATTATGATACTTTCATGTTTTCTGAGTTTTTGTAAATTAAAAATGTGGAAAAAAGAGATCAAATGTATAGAATTAATACAAGTAAATATCGTTAAAAAAGTTCTGCAATTTTGACTTGAAAATATGTTGTATGTTGAACACCTTAGATTTTCAGCATTCATGATTTATGTTTGGTTTTTTTTTGTGATTTTTGTGGTGTTTCATCGACACACGTTTCACTTCTTTTGCACGCAAAGAAAAAACAGACTACAAATGGAGAGATGAGGTGTGATTATTAATGAGACAACTACACGGAGGTTAGATAGAAGTATCTTCTCTTCTATATTTTTTTAAATTTAGGCCATATTTCTCTACTTTTGAAATTTTTATAGAATGTTCTTTGAATAGATGTCATCAATGATATATCGGATGGATATTTGAAAGAAATTGATGAAAAGCAGTTAAAAGAGACTCAGAGAATTGAAGAGGATATTTCAATAAGAATTCAAAAAGGTAAAAAGACATTACAGGGCTTCCAACAAAGGTTAATTTTGAGCCTGCAAAAACAATAAAGATTGACATTGAAAAGAATATAGGTGTTCTGAAATTTAGCGCTAGTGCCACGATAAAATCTATAAACACTCCAATTACTATTGGTAGCTTAGTTAGATTAAAGCCGACAACACAGGTGAGATGGTATGGAGTGACTCATGAATTAAACTGTTGGTTTTGTGAAAATGGTTTATTTTGATTCAGGTGCATTAAGTGTCTGTGTTGGTTTCCAAGAGAATGAAAATTGGCGTGGTAGGTTGTATGAGATTGAACATGTTGAATGAAAAAAACTACAATGGATTGATACAATTGAAAAACAATTAGGAACTTCGCGCAAACTCCACCGTTTTTTTTTTCTCTTTTATTAAAACATGTATCCAGCTTAAACCTGGTAAATCTGCCATTTTTACACAAACCTTGTTAGTGCCAAAAGTGGCACATTTTATAAAACCAAGGATCAAGATGGGCAATAGCAATTATATATTATTAGAATACACATGAATTTTCATCATAAAAGGAACACTTTCCGACATATAGGGTTATCTATATATATTTTTTAAAATTATTATTAATTTTATTTTTTCGAAAAAAAATGCATGAATATTTCTAGGTTTTGACTGAGTAAATTTTTTTTTAAAGTTTTTTTGGCAGGGGAAAGGGGGGGGGGGGGGGTGATTGGGAGGATGTAAAATGATTAAATACGAAAACAGGAATCGTCAAAGATACTGCACAGTCCAATATACAACATTTACTACCAACACACTAATCCTCTGAACAAACCGACATACAAGCAAAAACAACGAACAGCACATTGTTCAGATAGCCTGACTTGGTACCAACACATAATGTGGTGGAGTTAACCAAAAATCACCCCTTTCCAATCCAGACAATATATCGTAAAAACTCAAAATAAAAAAATTGCACAAAGCATATTTTATGAAATCGCACAAGTTTTGAAGGGAAAATAATAGCATTTCTTTTTCATGGTATTAAGATATCAAGTAAATGGGCAATCTCAATGAAGAAGACGACAAGACTTTCATGGTTAAAAAGGATGATTTTAATGCTTACTGTAATCCTCCTAAATTGGATGAAAATATTGAAGAAGGTCTTGCCATTAGTCATAAAGGCAACTTTAAACAATCTGGTGTCAATATGCCACCTTTTCACAGAGAACTAGATAATGATTTTCGTCGTATGGACAATTCCGCCAGGACACTTTTTAGAGCCGTTTCCTATGGCACTATGCTTTTTGCTTTTTTTAGATGAAGCAACCTGTGAAGATGATAGGGTTAAAGGACGTAAAGCGTTGATTAACTGCTTTAGAAGCATGGCTGATTTATCTGTAAGAGTCGTGGCAAATTCAGTTTTGAGTAGAAGGAAACTTTTTCTGAAAAATGTTAACCTCATAAGTAAGTCTACAGAAAAGATGTTTATGAAGTTGCCTGTTTTTGGCAGTCAACTTTTTAATGGACAGTACTTTGATACTCTACATACCTCAGCAGAGAATTTACGTAATGCAAGAAAGACACAGACTGTGTATAATAATGCTGGTAGTTATAACAAAAAACTACTCGAGAAGATAGAACTGAGTTTTATCGAAAGAGGAAAGCTGATTATACTGATATTTCTGATCATCATACAGCTAAAACTGCCAGGACTAGCACTAGTAATTTTAACCCAAATTTTAACAAGGATAATTTTCGCGTAGGAAATTTTTCAAGAAAAGGGAATTTTTCCCGGAAAAGTGCTGGGGCCCAAAAGGATTCCAAGCTCGAAGAAAGTAAATTCAAAGAAATTTGTACAAACTGAAAATATAAGTCCCCAGGTAGGGGCACGTTTGTTAATGTTTCACAGAAAGTGGACAATGATCACAAGAGATCAATGGGTATTAGACACTTTACAAGCAGGGCTAAAGCTGGAATTCTTGAGCCAGCCGTGTATAAATATAAGAGAGACACGTGTTCCAAGAGATGGTATTCACGAGTCAATTTTTAAAAACAGAAATAAGCGTTTTGTTACAAAAAGTGTTATAGAACTTGTTCCTGTTGGACAAGAAAACTTGGGTTTTTTTCAGCTCAGTTTTCATAGTTCCGAAAAGACAAGGAGGTCTGAGACCCACTCTCAATTTAAAACCACTAAATCAATTAGTAGTGCTCATCATTTCAAAATGTTCCAGACCACCAGTCCATTTTTGCCAATAAACTACTAACTTCAAATAAAGCTAATACTACCAATAAACACTGCCCTTTCCTCGATCTTGATATCTTTATCTTTAACGGGAAGCTTACTACCAAAATTTATCATAAAAGAGACGATTTTTCATTTCCTATTGTTAATTGTCCATTTTTAGATGGTGACGTTCCCTTGTCGCCATCTTATGGTGTTTATATATCTCAACTTGTTCGATTCGCTCGTGTATGTAAAAACGTATTTAATTTCAACGAAAGAAATCTCTGTATTACTGAAAAATTATTATACCAGGGTTATCGATATCACAAACTAGTCAAAACATTTACTAAATTTTATCATCGGTACAAGGAAATCATTCGTAAATATAAATCAACATGCAGACATCTTATACGTTCAGGTATTTCACATCCAATATTTTATGATAATATTCTTTACAAAGCACAAAAATGTCGGCATTCACCTCAAAAGCTAACCAAACCTTTAAACAGACTTATTCGGAAAGGATATAGTTACGATACTGTTGTCAAGTCATTAAGGATTGCAGATTTTGGTATTAATATTGATTCACTCATAGGGTCTTTGCATCGGAAATAAATACATATTATAAAACCAGTTGTTGGCATGATACGGGTTATGTTCTTCTCATATATTTTATGATGGTATGATACTAAACCCCTAACTGGAAGGATTGTACTTGATTTTCATATGATGAAGACATAATCTTTCAATCGTTTAATTGAGGTCTGGAGCTGGCATGTCAGTAACTGCTAGTAGTCCTTTGTTCATTTATGTATCATTGTCATTTTGCTTAGTTTCTTTTGTTACCTATTCTGACATCGGACTAGGAACTCTTTTAAACTGAGTTTTACTGTGCGTATTGCTATGTGTTTCTTTATTCTACATTGGCTAGAGGTATAGGGGGAGGTTTGAGATCTTACAAAACATGTTTAAACCCGATGCATTTTTGCGCCTGTCCCAAGTCAGAAGCCTCTGGCCTTTGTTAGTATTGTATGTTTTTTAATTTTAGTTCATTTATATGTTTTGGAGTTTAGTGTGACATTTTCACTGAACTAGTACACAATTTTATTTAGGGGCCAGCTGAGGAAATCCTCCAGGAGCGCAATTTTCTCGCTGCGTTGAAGACCCATTGGTGGCTTTTGGCTGTTGTCTGATCTTTGGTCGGGTTGTTGTCTCTTTGACATATTCCCCATTTCCATTCTCAATTTTATATAAACAAGTCTTAATTGAAAACAACGTTCAAACCTATGATTGTGTTGGATAAAAACCGCAATTTTTATACGTGTGCATGCAAAACAAATTTCTTGGTAGAGGGGTCTAAATACAGCACAAACAAC